AAAGTTTGAAACATTTATGAATATTTAATCTTGCCTTTCCAGTTCTTCTGGAGCTCTCTGGGGATGTGCCTTGTCCGTTGTTGTGTCCCCTGCTGACAAGTGAAAGGTGGTAGACTTAAGGGCTTGTTGAAAAACAAGCTGTACTGCTTTGACCACAGTGGTATGGCCCCTAGCATGAACATGTATACTAGTATGGCCACTTCCATTCAGGAAAATACATAATTTTTTGTCTAGTTTTTAAAGTATGTTATACCAGTATATGCATCTCCAGCAGGTTGTACTACCACAAAAGCTGTGTGAGAGCCAGACCACACAAAACCACTTTTTTCTCAGCTGCAGTATACTAGAGATAAATGAGTGCTAACGAAAAAAAAGCTTAAGCAGAAAAATAGTTTCTGCTATTAGATTTCCATTCCTTGGTATCGCACACATCGTAATCCTTCCAGCTCCCTGGTGGTTCTAGCTTTTGGATGCAAAAGATGACGTTACTGCTCAAAGTTCCCCTCTCCTGAATAGCATTTAGATGTATTTGTTCTTAACAAACGTACAGCAAATTTCCTTTCACGAGCAACCAACGTGTCTGTGGGGGCAGAGGGTTGTTTCTTTATGACGTGTAACAAGGTCTGAAAATTGGCATGAAAGCAAAAGTCTTCTTTCAGATAAACCAGTATAATTCCAGGGTTATTCTGCTGTGGTCCATGGTGTTACAACAGGTTTACACTGGCTTAATTGGGAACAGAATTCGGTATGTTTTTTTTGTAATCAACTGCATGTTGAGGGCTCAGCAGAGGTAACTGCAGGCTGAAACACTTTCAAAGCTGTACAACGTAAGCCAAGCTAAGAAACATGGAATGATATAACGTATTTCATTAGCCTAAAGTCTTCAACGTTTGTTTCTGCTCGTGGTTGTCACATCACACTCAAAATGATCAATGAGCCCATGAAAAGCTGCTGCTCAGTTCTGGGTAGACACATCCCCAGACAGAGAAGACACTGCTGAATGCAAAATCATTGGAAACCATCATCTGTCTTCACTGAATTCTGTTCTTGCTGACTCAGATGTGGCAGTGGAAAAATGAGTTGGTAATTTGTTTAGCTTTTCTAACCATACATATGAAAATCTGCTCCTGATGATTGTCTGACAACTCACGCTCTCCTTGACTTTAGAATAAATGCTTGGTAGCATTTTTTGCCCAGTGGCAAATATTAACTGTCAGAGTCAGGGCGGGGGCTCTTCCTCATGAAGAGGGTTATGAAAACTCAAAATGATTCACCAGGTTGATAACTGCTTGCCAGTAGTACCTGATCAGTACTGTTTTAACAACTGCAAAGACTAATGCAGTCAAAATGACTCAAAGCCTAAGTATGGTATACTCAATGTATATGCATACCAAGTAAGCATAGTTGTCATCAGCAGTTCCTTGATTTGACGATGAACTCTACCATAACTCACTGATAGGTCTTGAGGTCACTTAAGAGTCCCATCATTGAGCCACGGATCAGTCTGCAGAAGCTGCAGGTCTTTCTGCAGGGGAGAGTAGGCCACAAACCGGGATTTCTCTCTTTCCTTCCTCCACTGTCTTTCTCCTCACGCCCTGACTCTGACAGTTAATATTTGGTGTAGAGGATTTTCTGGAGGTATTGTTGCTGATACCTCTCCAGGCTTTTGAGATGAAATGGGTAACCCATGTTTCACATCCATAGTAATGAGTTGCTATGTCGACTGCATTGTAAACATCCATCTTGGTTTCTTTCTGGAGATCATAATCGACAAAAATGCGTGAAAGCTATTTCCTGCAGGAGGTGTTTGCACACTGGATCTCCTCATCAGTGTTCCACCTCTGAGAGAGGTGGCTATCAATGTAAGCGAAGTGCTCAGCTACCTCCAGGGTCTCTTCCTCCATGGTAACTTGAAGGGGGGGGAAGATCACATTTGTAGTCTGAAGTAGGCTGATGGAGCACTTCAAGTTTTCTTGATGTTGAGCAGGAGGTCCAAAGTTCAGTAGGTTTCTGTGAAGAGTTCCAGTATGGTCTGGAGGTTTTCCTCAGTGTGTGCAAGGATGGTGCAGTTATTGGTGTATTGAAAGTCAAGGATGGCTGTTTTGAGTACTTTAATCTTTAAGCAAAACACAGTTGGAAAGCCCTTCATCCATTTGGTATTCAGTGTTGATTCTGGAAGGTACGTGGTCTTTAACAAGAACCAGGATGATGGTCAGAAAAGTGGAGAACAGAATTGGGGTGATGACTCATCCTCACTTGACCCCAGTTTGGAGACAGTTCCATTTCTTATCCAGTCTCCTACCAAGAATGGTCAGTCATCTGGCTGTGGAAAAGCCTTGAGACCTGGATATATTACACTAAATAAGTGTAAGGGTTAGTTTGTGGCACAAGACAGTGCCAGTCCTAGTTTTTGCCTATTCTTGCATTGTAGTGGATGCCAGTTTCCTGCATGTTGATTAACTACTTGGTATATCATTGGGTTGTGTTGAATCTTTTGGTCCAACTGTCTACTTTTATACCTTTTCTTTGTTCTCAGATGTAGGTGCACCACAGTCCCTGAAAGGGAGGCAGCTGTCATTTTGGGCTAGCCAGTTTCACAGCTACCATCAGCCCTCATTTGCAAGGTTTTTAATGCCCAGTTTGGGGACTGCTGTCGCAAACTTGGAAAATGAGGAGAGTTTGTTCTGGGGCTGCTAATGCCACCATGCTGCCAGCATTGCTTACATAATGAACGTGGCTTATCTAAACGCAATATAAACACGTTTCCTCTTTAGCCCTAAGGCTACAGTTAAATGGAGTGGATTATGTTGGGCTCAAATGGGTTTCTCTTGATCTGTCAAGACAGCCTGCTTTGGGTTGTGTCCCATGTACTTTAAGAAATGTTGTCCCTATGGATATTAGCTAGTGCAACTGAGGATACTTTCATTTCCTGTATCTATAGTCTTATCCAGCTTTCACTGGTGAAGCCCCCGTTGGAATGGATTATACCTATATGCCAGACATAAGCATAAAGGTTGCCTTTTTGGATACTTTCTCTTCTGTTCCTGTCAGTGTCTTCTGATCTTGTGTTTCTCTCCCACTTCTTCAGCTGTTGTCTATGTGTCTTTTTGTTTCCATTTTTTACTCCTTGGCAGATGCAGGCTATTTGGCATTGAGGCAGCTACCCAGTGTGTTCTGGTGCTGTGCTCATATCCTCTAGCAACTTTGCTAACAAAGAAAAATTGGGATTATGCATTGCTGCCTGCACCATTGGCATGTACCTCAGCTTTTCTTTTGCTTGACTGCATTCTGGGCTTTTCTGGGAGGGGAAGAGCCAAATGTGTGAGAGGGGTGCATTGATACAGATTTTCTTGGCCGATACTGACACCGATCATTAACCAGCCACATTGGCCAATACCAATCCAATAGCTGATATGCAGCCTGGCAACTTGGAGAGCAGCGTCCAGCTAGTAGGTCTGTGAGTGGGAAGGAGGAATAGGGGGGTCAGATTGAGGGCCCCATGGTGAGGGAGGGAGTGAGGCAGTGGCAGGTGCTGCCCAATCAGGGAGATGAATGGAAGCCTGCTGGGAGTGGGGCGGAGCCATGAGCAGCTTCTCCAGGGGGCACTGGGGGAGGGGGTAGAGAGTGCGGTGGCTCCTTGCCACTGTGCACATCCCCGGGGGAGGCATTGGGGTCATGTGCCCCACACATTTGTGTGCAGGGCAAGAGCAGGCTGCCTGCTGGGGGCCATTAATTCACTTAATGGCAGAGCCAAGGAATTTAAACTGGGGTCTCTTGAATTCTGACCCAGTGTCCTAGTTGTTAGACCATGCTGAATCCTTGTAAATATCCAACTTTTAAACACAGCTTTAATATTGCATTGTGAATCTGTTGGTCAGAGAACTCTTCAACTCTTGGCTCACAGAATGTGTGACCTGACTGAAAACACTTGCAGCCTCTTGGATAGGAGGGATATGGTTTGTCCAATGACTGAAAAGATTGTAAGCACTTCGGGGCAGGGGTTGTCTCTGTTCTATGTTGGATGGTAGCTAGTGAAGTGGGCTCTCAGTCCATGATTGGGGTTCCTGGGCACTGCCACTCTTGACATCACACACACACACACACACACACACACACACACACACACACACACACACACACACACACACACACACACACACACACAACATCTCTTGAGTATTCTTTGTAGTCTTCAGATCTTGCTTGCTGTCTCTCAGTGCCTGGTATTTTAACAATTTAGTCAGCGTCCAGGTGTTGCACATCTAGCAGAATGGGATCTTAGCAGTCATGCTTCTGAACAGGAGGTATTTATGAGGAACAGCTGGAGAGGAGCCATACAAATAAAATGGTTATATTGCCTTTTAATGGTTTCCTGTTTCTTGTCTCATGCCAACATCCTTAATCTGCATTTTAACCTGCACAGAAACTAGTGTAACACAGTTCATTTGCACATACCCTCAGAGTTGGATGTGCTCTCTTGATGCTGTCTTTTAAAAATGTGGGTCAAGCATGAATATAGATCTTCAGTGCAGGTGGGAAGGAACGGGGTGAAAACCCTGGTCATACCAAATCCACTTTCCCTTTCAGCATCCACTCTCTGGTGCTACGCAACACAAAACACTGGACAAGGTGGACCTATGGTTCAAACCTGTAAATGGCAGTTCTTGTGTTCTTGGGTAGATATCTCCTGTATCTTCGAACTGCAAGCATAGAAGGAGGGGAGGAGAGAGGGGGCTTAGGTTTAAATACTGGCCCAGGTATTATAGGAAATATGGACAGACCGCCAAAAAGATAGCAGTGCAAACTGTAATTATCTCAGCATAGGGGTGTGGTTGGTGGGTTTTTTGCTGTTTTTGTTTCACTTGCTGATTAAATGCATCATTGCGTATTTGATGACATGAGTGCAAGGCATTGTGTGTGCGTGTGTGTGTGTTTTCTTTAAAAAGGAAAGAAGAAAAAAAGACTAAGGCATGTGTGTTTTTAATATTGCTACTTTCAGGTGCAGTTTGACATACATGGGAGTAGCTGTTATGCTCTTGCTCCTGGAAATGTGGTAAGATCACAGGACAGTCTGTCTCATCGTGGTGTTTGAAGTATAAAACTAACAATGTGCCTTCCATTCTGGCATGTGTCCACTGAAATTTGCATTACTACCAGCTGTTCTAACCCATTGTATTGTTGTTGCCAGGTGTTCTGGTTATTCCTTATCCATTCCCTTGCCTTTTTGTTCAGTAGCATTAGTATACACACCCATTTCAGGATGTGACCTGCATCATTCCTGAGCAGGAATAACGTCAGGCGTTGGACTGACAGTAATATCTATTCTGGTCTCCTCAGTAATGCTGCCATTCTAGTTGCAGCTGATTGACTAAAAGGCCATCAAAAAAACCCTGTTGATGGATCACCTTAACTAACCTGTATCTTCAGTATTGAAGCTACTAGGGAATAGAATGTAAAAAGCCAATGAAGTCTAAGTGGAGAATAATACTGAAGCACAGGCTGGCTGTTTTTCTTCTATTAAATAAGCCACTCAAATATTTTATTGAAATAATCCAATCTGTCTAGAAAAACAAGCCCAGACCTTCGTGTTGTTTTGCAGTTTATTGTCACTTTTGGAAATATTGCCAGTAATATTGCTCAGGGAGTGTGAAACTTAAATGAAGACCTGTTTGCCAGCTCACGATTTCACAGCTGCTGAAGAGGATTTTTTTTATTAAACAAATGCAAATGTTTCCACAGCGCTAATAGTAGTCATGCTCTTTGCCCATTTTAATATTTGTCCTTTCATTACTCTTGGGTATCCTTGGTGAAGGCTGTGATCTCTCCTTGGAGGTTGTACAAAACTACAGGACAATTTAGTGAAGAATGCCAAGTAAAAGTTGAGTGGTCAGACCTTCCAAATTTTCCCTTCTAATGAAAAGTGAAAATAAACCTAAAACCAAATTCCTGCTACATATAGCAATAGTTTCTCTGACATGATAACATCTGGAAGTTTAATTCTTGTCTTGTTTTATTATGACAAAATGGCCTGCTTAAAGTGTAGTACAAGATAGAAATATTTGGATGGAAAGAAAGTAAAACATTACATTTAAAAGTTACTGGAAAGCACTTGGCCATCTCTCAGCTAATCACCATTTTTTGGTAGGAATATAGGTTAAATAGAGATGGGATCAGAACTACTTAAACTTGGTCAATGTTTAAGGAGCATTTGGACATGATGTATAAAAAAAGCTGTTGAAGACTTAACTATATGAATTCCTTCCAACCCAACCCATCTCTGTGACCCCCATAGACACCATATGTGAGACATGCCATGTTTGTCCTATGTATTTAGTTTCTTTGCCAAATCTGGAATAACCACCAGTTCAATTTTTAAATATTTGTAGAGAATTTTCTCTCTTTGTTTCCATAACAACCACCTTACACTTGCCAGACCCCTTGATCCTATACTTTGGGGTCTTTCCTAGCTTGTCTGCACCTTTCTGCCAGCCCTGGACTGTCTTGAAGTAAGGGAGTAAGAATCAAAAACACGCTATAGCTCCAGCCAGAGCTGTTCAAAGGACTATTTCCTTCCCTGAACCAGAGCACAATGCCTCTGCATCTGCAGTGTTGAAGCTTTTTTTGTTCTCTTTATAACACTGCAAAATCAGTATCTAGTCTGCCTTTAAGGTTTTTCTTCCTCATGTAATGCATTGACTGCTCTTTTTTTTTTTTTTTCCCCTTTAGATTTAATGGCTACAGTGGGCCTTAACTTGGGATTTCCAATGGCTTTAATGTAACCTTAGCAGCAGGAACCCTGTTGGTGTTTGTATTCAGAAATATATTTCAACACTGAGGAAGCCTGCCTTGACAGCTAACTATTGGTTATCTTGTGAATATTGGCATTAAATAAAATGCTTTTGGTGCGGGAGTTGGGAGGTAGAAAAAAGGCTTCCTGTTATAATTATTTTAATATGTTTGACTTGGCAGCATCACTTGAGCTATGGCCGGGTAGAGATTTGGCTGTCAGAATTCTGATCACCTCTTCAGAGAAGACTTGCATAATAAACTCAATGCACAGGGGGAGGGGGGCGTTGAGTGGTGCATTGCTGCAAAAAAGATGGTTCTTTTAATCCTCATTTCTCATGTGATGCTGTGAGGATTGGATTTGATGATCATTAGTGATCAAAGCTTGCACATCAGTGAGTATATTAGGCCTTAGTAGCTGCGATTACTTTTCAGTGTGCTGATGAAAACATTGGCTCTGTAAGTGTTATGACTGTTTTGCTGTCTCTGGTACAGGGCAGTGTAGCCAAGTGGTACTGGAGGAGAGGAGGTGGGTTGTAATTACTCAAGCTGGAATATGCTGAGGGCAATGGGGGTTTAGTCAGTGACATCTGTACATAGCTGCTGTAGTCGGCCTACATCATGAATCTTGTTATTTATAGACTCTGTTTTCAAACCTACTTTGTAAGCTTTTGTTTGTACTTTGGGTGCCAAACTGGATTCTCACCTATAGGAGGAGGATTTGCAGCCTGTAAGAGCCCCCCTGTCTTCACACTAAGACTTGGTTGCCTCGCACAGAGGTAACTGATTTGAACTTGGTATGCAATTAAGTTAATGGCAAAATCGAACTAGCATTCACTTCACTCAGTGTGAGGCTTGTTGGGGTTTAACAAAGCACAGAACATCTGTTGAATGAGTTTTTTTTTTTTGTTTTTTTTTAATTTTTTTTTATTGGCTCTTCTCAGAATACATCTCTGTTCTGAAGATTGTATGTGATCGTTATGTTTAACAGCAAGATCCTGAAGGGGGCCCTGAAACACTACTGGATTCCTGAGTTTAGTAATGCCTGGAAGAACCACCTACCAAGTTGTCTGTGCCACTTTCAGCAGTGCCAGGCTGCAGAAGGGGCTACAGTATTTAAGCAAGTCGATGGCAGTTCTCTTACTCCCCCCACACTTACATGAACACAGTCACTGAACTGTCCTGGGAGCTGGGTATTTGCTGCACCTGAACAACTGATGGGGTGGGGTATGGTAGAAAAGTGGTGACTTGACTAAGGGGCTAGAGTAATCCTGGTTCTGACAGATTAGCATACAGGAATCTGATGTTTTGAGCCTGCTGCCTGTAATATTGAACTGACACTGGAGGAGAGAGGTCCTGCTGGCTGCCCAGCAGAGGAGCTGGTTTTGCTGCAGGCAGGTTAGCTTTTGAAGCCTTCCATGGCAATCTGAGTGAGACTTTCCCTCAAGCTTACACATTTCTCTGAGCTGGTTCTACAACCCAAGGACTTGTTAAGATGGCTTTATGAATCCAGGAGGCCACTGTTGTCCAATTTGTATACCCCTGGCAAAATCTGTGACCAGCTTTTGTCCTGGCTGGCTTTACATTGCTTTGTAGACCCCAACACCAGCTGTTCATGGATGTTGCTCCACATCCCCCTCAGTGTAAAACAGGCTGAAACCTGTATGGCCTGACCATCCTCTGGGGCAGACTTCAGTCTCACATCCTGTATTGTTTATTGACTTGTAACACAAGCCAAGTTGCTATCTGGCCTTTTAGAGCCACAGCAGTGGGATTCAGTTGCATCTTGTAGTCAAGCAGATTTGGCAGAGTGATGCGTGTATGATGCTGTCAATGAAGAAACACTGGAAAAAGGACAAAACAGCCCAACCAACACTGAATTTGGCTGGGTTCAAGCAAGCTTGCTGGTTCATGGCCTAACGTGCACTTGGATGCGAGAGGCGATGGCAAAGGAGTTGCTAGGGGAGCAGCGAGTGCTGTTTTAAGCACCAAATTCTTGACACAGCTGTCAAGGCGGGTTTGCTGTTTGGCATTCTTCTGAGGGATTAGGGGGGAAGGAACAGCCCAGACGAGCACAGAGTCTCATTTGCAGAGCAGCAGGATCACGTGTCTAGGCTCTGATGTCTCTAGTTGCTGTGGGAATGTTTGACTGTCACAAACCTGCTGTTGTGGCTGCACTGAATAGGCTGCTGAGGAGCTTGAGGAGGGGTGCGGTGGGGATGGGGTGGGATGTTGTGCTCAGGAGAGAGATCCTCTGGCAGGGGATTACTGCAAAAATCCAAACCAGGTGGTTTATTTTTGGAGGCGTCTCCTTCTCCCCCCCACTTTTTTTTTTTACCCTGTCCCAAAAGTACATGTATCCATAAAAGAAAGCTACCTACCTACCTACCTCTGCAGTAAATGCCACGGGGAACTGGGAGGGAAGCAGACCACACTCTCTCTTTCTGTGGCAATCTGTGCTGTTGTTGAGTGAAAATCTTGGTTCAGGCTAAACCAAAGGATTGCAAGTGTTGCATCACTTGCAGCTTGCTGTTGACAGATCAGCCAGCTGTTGGAGCCTAATGGTCCCTGTGGACCAGGCAGGCTTTGTTTTCTGCTTCCATTAACCAGCTAACTTCCAGAGGTGCTCTAATCTAACAGCTTTTGGCAGCTTATTGTCAGTTGCTAGCAGCAGGAGGCTTTTTGGAATATCTTTTTGTGGAATGCTAGAAATGGCATATCCCTGTCACTGGTTTGTTGTGGTAATGCCCTTGTCCAGGGTGGAAGGAGGTGAAAGACTGGTGATGAGGAGGCAGGCTGCATGAAGAAGGCCTGGCAGGGGAATAAGGGGGCTTGAGGAAAGTGAGGGGAGTTGGGATATTCTTGCTCCAGCCACAGGTCCTATTTAAGAGGTTTTTGCCCCACTTTTGTATCACTTACTTGCCCCTGTCCTTGTCCCCTTCTGTTTTCTGTCCCAAGTAGGTGGCTTGTAGTTGGGGTGCTGTCAAGAAAAAACATTCTCTCTCTTTAGAAGACACTGTGGTAAGCAGCTGGCTGGCTCCCATACATCCCATCTTGGCCCTGCCATTGAATTGTCCCATTTTGGCCCTGCCTTCCTTCCATTTTTCTGCTAGCCAAGTGTGACCTTGCCTTCAGCAGCCAGAGTCCTAGGCCCACCCTCCTCCAGTGCATAATGTTGGTGATGGTTAACATCTCCAATTAAAGTTTCCCTTGCTGTAAGGTTTTAAATGTTATGAAGAAGGCAGTACTGCCTAGTAAAATTTAAGT